TGTCAAACATGATGTTTTTTTTTTTGTCAATCATTATTGTTCTCATCCCACACGACTAGTGTGACCCGGTGACATGGGTTGTGTGAAAAAACATTCAATTTTCGAAAGACTTTCTGGTCCACACGACCTATCACACGACAGGGTAACACGGGTCGTGTGAGGTCACACGACTCGTGTGACTATGCGACACGGGTCGTGTGACAAGGCCGTAGTTAATTCCTAATATTTCTCATGAGTCACACGACTCGTGTGCTAAGTGACACGGGTCGTGTGTGTGTCACACGACCCGTGTCACATAGCACACGAGCCGTGTGAAAAAGTCGTTGCAAGTTAGACAATTTTCTCATGAGTCACACGACTCGTGTGCCAGGTGACACGGGTCGTGTGACACTAACACGACTCGTGTCACTTGGCACACGAGTCGTGTGACCTCACTCTACGCGCGACATATGTTTTTTTTTTTTTTATATAAACAAGAATAAAATGAAAGCATATAATGAAAAAAAACATAATCTTTTTAAAGTTCCCAACAACATAAAACCGAACATCGAATGAAAGAAAATATGTCATATATCAGGGGTTATTTTGAGCATCAAACCATAACTGCAACCTAGACTGGTACCGATTCTCCAAATTCTCCACCGAAGAAGTTTGGTGTCTGAACCACATACTATGAATAGGCGGTAATGGACAATCCAGAGTCAAATCTAACCGAATGTAGTGTTCGTAGCTACCAAGATGACATATGCAAATCTCACGGCGTGGCTCTGTGCTCGTTGATGCTGCAGCGAGCGGCAATACTGTGCAGCTGAACTGGTTGGGCAAACGACCATCGCGACCAGAGCCTAAAAGAACGACAACCACATTAAATAGGGTTGCAACAGGGTAGAGGTCGGTTGGAGTGTCCATCCAGTGATTCGTGCTACAAGCGCCCCCGTCCCACCTTATAAAATTAAAATATTAGTATTTGAATAATAATACTTATAATATATAAGAAAAATAAATATAAAATATAAATATTAGCAAAATAATAATAATAAAAATAAAAAGCGCCCCCATCCCACCATATCCGAGCGAGTGCCGTGTCGATATCTCTGTAATAGATGTACTCGTACAAGGCACGATGGCTGT